CTCCTCATGGGTAAGTCATGACACTCCCTGGGCATCAATGGGCCATATAGCTGCTACAGACATCTGTCCAATAAGCAGACTGAATGCTCTCACATGTGTGAAGTTTGAAGTTCACTTTTTGGTTCCTCAAATGTTTCTGCTGAAAATATTTAAATTACAAGGAAAGAATTCTCTTCAGATACTTGGCATGAAACCTCTTCCCCAGCGAGGCTTAAAAGGCCTGTTACACCTGCCTTTGTCACCGCCAACACCAAAAGTGATGTCAGAGATGCTGCTGAAAGTTGCCCTTTGGTGTTTCCACTCATCCTGCACCTCCAAAGATTTCTAGACCCTAACATGGACAACAACAAGAATTATATTTTAGGATTAAAAATATCATTTCCATGAAAGAGGCCGTTCATACTGCTGATAATTGCAGTAATTATCAGTATTGTTAGTTTTGGGCAGCTGTGGCAACAAACCTTACTTTGGGTGGTGGTCTAATAATTTTGCTAAGACCTGTACAGGATGAAAAAGTGAAACTCCTCGTTGTAAAAAAATATCCTCTTATAAAATAAAACGGGCCACATGCTGCAGAAAACCTTATGTGGGGTTATGTCAGGTCAGCATTTGTCACACGGCTGGTGTCCTGGCCTGAGACGAGCAAATGTTGCATCTGTGTGTCTGATTCGTGCTGTTCATAATGTCAAAGGTTGTAAACTGTAGACAAGCTATCGCAGTGTCCAGAAATCAGGAGGGGTCAGGTTCTGAGAAAGTAAACTGGACTGTTGATGTGAACAGAGGTCAGTGAGTTGGGTTACTACAGGCCAGCGTCCCCAAAGAAAAATCAACGTAACACTGCGGTCTGTGGGCTGTGTTCACCTTCACTCATGTTTCCTGTCAGCGCGGCACCAAAGATCTGGAATGATAACAGATGTGTGTAGACAGTTTAACATATTTAATTCCAACTTTCTCTTTTTTTTTTTTTAATGTTCAGGTGTTCTTCAGGGGAGCATCAGTGAACGCCATCCGAGGCTTCCCAATGAGCTCCACCATGTTCCTGACCTATGAACTCTCTCTGCGGTTCTTCAGGGGTCTTTAGGACACATTTTACTAATTAAAGGAGTCACACTGAGTTACTTGGAAAAATGAGCACAAAGCAAATAGAGCCCAGCGTCTCTGAAACGAGAGACTGGTGACAGTGTAAGTCATCTGATCAAACCTTTAGCTCAGTCACACAGACAGTTTTATCACACCGGTGGCCAGCGATGTTACGCAATGCTGCTTGAGTTATTCAGAGATTAAAGATTTTAGTGTTGGTGCTGCAGAGTGATTGTGTGGAGCTATTTTTATAGTTTTATAAATTGGATCAGTTTCAGGTGGATTGCAATTATTGGTCAAATCAAAAAGTATCTTCTTGTTATGTGTAGTATAATAGTTGAATGACATGTTGATGTCAGAATTTTACTGAAGTTGAATTTTTCTTTGCTGCATATTTACCAAAGAACTCTGTGTGTTCCTCCGCGGTTTGTTTTTGGGGCAAGTCTGAACTTCCTGTGAAAAAGACGGTCAGTATGGAGGTGATGTGCACAGTAATATTGTGTTAATACACAGTAGTGCACTGTTAGCATGTGATTGGTGATCTGTAGGGAAAAGAAAGGAAGTCCGGTGATGAGGAGTAAAACTGACATAGATGTCATGTGTAGTCATCAGCGCATAATGTTTCATACTGAATACGATCAGCTAAAAGATTTTTAAACAGATCTCATGTATAACTTAGCTATTTCACTTTGTAACCTCCACATGTAGAAGTGTTTATCTGGCCTTTATGTGCTGCACTTTATCTCAGAGAGATAAGCTCAATTGACCAAGTCAATGTGAAAAGATGAGTTTGACATTTTCAACACAAGCAGAGGGTCAACATATTCTGTTACCTCTTAGTTGTAGGTTTAATTTATGAACTGGATGTACCTTACATATATTCAAAATGATTAAACGCATCATTTTAATGAGTTTTAGATGTTCTTTCTTCTGCTCTCTCGTTCTGTACTTTAAAATCCTGTTTATGTTGAAAATGGCACATCCACAGAGTCATAACATGAAATGTTGCCTTCCATGCGGACTGTATGTGTGTTGCACACTAACGTCCTCTTGTACATTTGTTTGTGTGTTTCTTATATTAAGAAAAGTGAGTTTTACAAGTTTATAATTAAACGTCCTGCTAACAAACTTTCCACAGACTGCAGTTAAAAGCTTTGGCGTTTCGCTCTGAAGTCAGATTAAAATTATAACAGGATTTATTGTTTTTAAAACCCTGACATGTAAATATGTGTAAATATGTTCGCTGCCATTCCACATGACAGGGAGCCAGAAATTTCTTATTGTACATAAATAAAAGCTTTTAATCACACCGCTCTCCTTTTCTGAATCGGCTCTTCTCAGAATAATGTGACATTCATGTGACAGCTCGTCTACTTAGAGATAGGGGCCTGCTGTCAGATAAATACTTCGTGATGTCGACACGTGCTACGAGAGCTGATTTTCATGTCATATCTGAGGCCTAAAGCGAAGACTCTGGCTTCAGTAGAATTGCAGACAGACGTTGACTTTCTGCCTGCAGTCGGCTGATAAGAACCTGGAGCTCTAAAGTCACTCTCATAACTACAGTGAAAGCTGTTTGTTATTTTCACCTCAACTTCCCTCTAAGGGCTCACAAAACCCACTAGAGGGCAGCATCTAGCAACACAACTCAATGAAGCGGCTATTCGCACAAATCTACCCACAATGCACTGAGTGTTTCTTCTTAATCTGTGGTTCTCTTCCATAGCGTGCCCCATCCCTGATACTGGGACTGGTTTCTTTCTGCTAAAAACAGTTTTTCCTTTCTGCTGTCATCAAAGGTTGATTGGTCGAGTTTTCTTTGTATTACTAACTTGCAGTATAAAGTGCCTTGAGGCAACTGTTGTTGTGATTTGGCGCTGTATAAATAATATAAAATGAATCAATTAAATTGAAACTCTGTAGTCAATTTGTAACAGTAAGAAGGCTTATTTTTAGTCATTTACACATTTTTCATATAACAGTTTAATAATGAACACTGTTAATGTAAATCGTTCTTCTTTGGAACTTCAAGCAGAGTTTCTATTGCAGCAGGTCCTCCTTAAGAAAAAGAAAAACCGCCTAATAATGAAAACAGCTGTGTGTTGGTGTCATTTAGGGTGGTACATCGCCACGTTGTGGAATAAACTGTAATCAACCTTTGTAAATACTGCATATCCCAGCAAATACTGCATTAACGTTATACTGCAAGAACTCTGCAAGTATAACTTTATTTTTTTTTATAATTATTATTATGGAAAATCTTCTGGTTAGCAGATAAACAATACTGTGCACAGTTTATGGTTTTTGACTTGACCAGTAATATTCATGCAGTGTTGCTTTCATTGTGGCACAGATGCTCATGCATGTAGTTAAAAAAATATATTATTAGTTTATATTATTAGTTATTATATTTGTCTCACTTCAAGCAATAATGGGTTCATAAATTCTTGATTTGACCTGGCTGACAGGCAGTGGGGGGAGCAAGAGAATTTTAATAGGGGCTGGCAGCCTGAGATTATTACTGATACAGCACAGAGACACATAAAACAAATCTGTAATATTATTTAAAACATAAAAACTGATTTTCCTTTAATGTGGACTCAGGTCAAGTGGATACAAGCGGACGAGATCGCGGATACAAGCGGCAGAAATGAGCTTCCCCCGAAGGGTGGCTGGCCTCTCCCTTAGAGATGGGGTGAGAAGTTCGGCCATCCGGGAGGAGCTCAGAGTAGAGCCGTTGCTGCTCCACATCAAAAGGAGCCAGCTGAGGTGGTTCGGGCATCTGACAAGGATGCCCCCTGGGCGCCTCCTGGGTGAGGTCTTCCAGGCATGCCCCACCGGGAGGAGGCCCCAGGGCAGACCCAGGACACGCTGGAGAGATTATATCTCTCGGCTGGCCTGGGAACGCCTTGGAGTTCCCCCGGATAAGCTGGAGGAGGTGGCTGGGGAGAGGGAGGTCTCGGCCTCTTTGCTTAGGCTGCTGCCCCCGCGACCCGGCCTCGGATGAAGATGGATGGATGGATGGTGGACTCAGGTCTGGTAGGATACAGCACTTAGTTGTTTTGGGTGTTGGTGTTAGTGTGGCAGACGCAAAGTTCAAGGAGAAGAGACGATTTGTCTGCTTGGCTGACAAATAAAACCGGTGAAACTATGAGACACACTTTGACTTTGATGGGGCGATCGTGGCTCAAGAGTTGGGAGTTCGCCTTGTAATCGGAAGGTTGCCGGTTCGAGCCCCGGCTTGGACAGTCTCGGTCATTGTGTCCTTGGGCAAGACACTTCACCCGTTGCCTACTGGTGGTGGTCAGAGGGCCCAGTGGCGCCAGTGTCCGACAGCCTCGCCTCTGTCAGTGCGCCCCAGGGTGGCTGTGGCTACATTGTAGCTTGCCATCACCAGTGTGTGAATGGGTGGATGACAGGTTGTGTAAAGCGCTTTGGGGTCCTTAGGGACTAGAAAAGCGCTATACAAATACAGGCCATTTACCATTTACTTATTGTGGCTGCAAAATTTTAAATTTTGTATTTTTGTTTTTTTTGTTTTTTTGTTTTATCCTTCCCTCTCTGTAACTTCTGCCTTCATTTTTAATGCATGTCTCAGGAGTTTGCTGTGGACACTGAGAAGAATAGTAGCACGTGGAACAAAAGGAAAACATTTCTACACTGTGAAGTGTTTGGTCAAACTGAGGCACTCGGTATAAACTGTAGGCAAAAAGTTTCATTTTTAAAGTTATGAACAAACTTTGATGGAGTGACATGAAGCACAGTAAAGTAGCTCTTTTTTTATGTTTTTGTGGATGAATTTCTTGGCCCATTTAAAAATCCTGCCTATCCTGCCCACTCCAGCCTAGCAGGGGGCAGTATTACTCCTACATGTTTAAAAGAATAAAAGAAGAGTCGTAGCAAGCCTGCAGTGACGTCATCGCTTCCTGGTTATTATTTACTTTCATTTTATGGCTTTGTGAAGCTGCAGATTGTCTCCGTGTAGAGGTGAGTAAGGCCTACGGTTCACTGCTGGGCTCTGACTCTGATTTGCTTCACTCAGAGCGGTGAGTTTGTGACACTCAGAATGAGGAGAAATCTTTTTTTTTTTTTTGCAGGTTTCTGTGCTTCAGCTGACTCTGTGATGTCGCTGTGTGAGAACAAAGTGGAGCTTCCTCCTCCCTCTAAAGCCACTCTGTGTGGAGACGAGATCACCAAAGCTCAGAGGTCAGATGACTTTCTTTACTGCCAGGGACTCTTCTGCATGCTACAGCTCTGCATTTAAATCACTGCACCATCATTTTTATTCACATGTAAAACTGTGTGTGTGAAGCCCAGAGAAGCAGCACAGACCCCACACAGCCCACCGTGAACCTGAACCCGTCTGTGTGTCCACGATGAGCAGCAGCTCAAATGAGCGATATATTGATTTCAGCCAAGATACAGAGAACAGTCAGAACCTGCCTGCTAATGAAGGGTAAGGATGGAAAGCTACCAGAAATATTTAACTGGACTTTAGCAAATAAAACATTTTAACCAGGAGTTAATTAACTTCATGCTATTCATTGTAATTATGTGTTTTCTTGCCCATATGCAGCTGGTTATCCTTCATAAAGAACTGGATCATGGATGCGATCGTGAATTTATTACAAAGATTATTTGTGAAACAGTAAGTCGTGCATTACATCTTACTAATTATTCATTGTTTTTGTCTCTACAGAGCTGCAAGGAGACGAAGCATGTGGTTGAGAATGTTGTGACTAAAAGAAACCTGAACATAGAGATGTAGTGGTAGCACATCTGTCCACCAAGCCAGACATCAGCTGTTTACAATAACATCTGTCACTCACTGCAGCCAAGGGGCATCTTTTCTTCTTCATTTAACCTTATCTGCTGTTATTCAGGTTACAACAGATACCAGCATCTTCTGAACCTGATTCATCAGCACCCACAACGTGCGATGAATCTGTTCTTCATAACTCCAGCGATGAACTCGACTCTGTTAACGAGGCGTAAGTACTTCAGGATGATAGTGAAAACTGAATACTAGCGCTCATCTTAGTGAAACGTTGAAGTTTCCAGTATAACCAGTCGGAGAACCTAAAGAGGAGCAGTAGGAGGTTGTAGATGACTTGCTTCAGAGAACTTCAGAAGTTTACAGTGAAGGAGGGGGGGTTAGTGCAAGCTGTTAGGACTAGACCCTGCTGAGGATGCTGAAAGCTACAGAAACCTCTTAATTCTTAAAAGCTTCAGCATCACTCACTGCTCACAGTCACTCACGTTCACTGTTTGAGACCAAATGTTACTAGATGGACCTTTGCCTTGTGGTTGTTTTTGTGTGAACAGATATGATGGGAGCTAATTTTTCACAATTCTTCCAGATTTGACGAGGAAAGTACAGAGGCTCCAAGTGATCAGCCTGCCCAGCAGCATCAATCACATCCGGACTCAGTCTTTATGGTGTGTACAACAACTTCTTTTACACGTGTTTTATTCTCAGTCATCTCCATGCTGCACTTGTGTCTGATTATCATTGTGATGATTTAAATCTGGTTTCATTAATTGTTATATCCTGTTCAAGCGGCTGGAGGACAACATTATCACTTTCGTGAAAAATGAGCTGAAGAAGATCCAGAAGATGTTGTTTCCAGATAACTCAGAGAGTCAGATGGAGGAAGAGATGCTGCTGGAGGGCGAGGGTGAAGAACACAAGAACAGAGAGGCATTGGTGAAGCTCGCCCTGCATTTCCTGAGGAAAATGGAACAGAACGGCATGGCTGACTATCTGCAGAACAGTAAGTAAAATGAGCCTGATCAGTAAATGTGACAGATCATTGCAGTCATTTATCAGTGTTTTCATGGATGAGCAGTTGACAGGAATTGCACATTGTACTATATTTGATCTGTTTGGGTGCAATTATTTAAAAATTCAGTTCCTGAACCATATACCCATTCTGCCTTTTATTTAGAAAATTTCTCACTTAGCACATTAGCACTCATCACATTAGCAGTTCTGGTCCTAACC